GCTATACAAATTTAGTGACAGATGCACCTGATAGGCATTTACAGATATTTGGGTAAATATCATCTTGGGGAAAATTTTACTTGAATCCTCATTCAGTTACATCTTAATTGTTGAGAAAGTTACTTAACCTCATTAATCCTCTCTTCTCATCTATAAAATGAGGATAACAATTGTACCCACTTTATATGCCAGCTGTAAGATTAACCCATGTAACAATGTTTAGAAGTTGGCCCAAAATAAACTCTTAACTAAATATAATTGATGACAACATTCAATAGATGGTAATAGCCATGTCACAAGCACTATTAAAACTATTGGTTGTAACTATTTCTGTGTCTAGGCTAAAAACATACAGCAATGATCTTTTGTCGATAAAATTATAATAGAACATTGAATCTAGTTGAACAATTCTCCTTTCTTCCTCCTTGCTATCTTAAAGCATCATCAGAAAACAATCTAAAATAATCTTGAATGAAGTAAGTTGCTGAAAGTTGTGAGAAGACCTGTGATAGAAAGCCTTTCAAAAATATTTTGTTTTACTTTAAAAATCTCTTTCCATGTTTTAAGTATAAATTATATCTTTTAGAAGATATATCTTGATTTTTAAACTAGAGTCTTAAGAAATTAGATGCTGAAATTTGGAGTCATTTTTAAATCTAATCCTTCATTCAATAAATATTGATTGAATGCCTTTTCTGTGCTGGGTGTTATGTTATCTTCTAAAAATATAAAGATGAAAAGATCTGATCCCTGCCCACCATTTAATGAAGTAAGAAGACATACAATTCCTTGTCATTTAGGTTACCATGTTATAATACAGAATGGACTCTTTAATATGGGATTACAGAAGTAGGGGTGATTAAGAAAAAGATATCAGTCTCTGTCCACTTCAAAGAAGGGTAGGCGAGGCTTCACAGAGGAGGTACTAGGTGATGGGAATGTTTGCACATGTAGGCTCTTGTCCCATTGTTTCTGTTGCATTCAGAACATTATCTTTCACTTGAAAATTGTTATTCTTATTGTCAAAAACCATGTTGAGATCTAAGTAATACAACCACTCGGACTTGGGCAGGGACAGGTTCTTCTAACTCTTTTTCTTTCTTCACAACAGCTAGTGTATTCTATACTGAAAGCAGGAACTCACTAAACGCTGATGTTTAATGTATTGGTGGAAATTTGGTAGAGTTTTAGTTATGCTATGTAATAAATATGCAATTAACATATTTTTAATTTTAGCAGGTTTCTGAATGGCAGATCATTCAACCTCCCTTTTCTTGAGTTTTCTGCTCTGCTATTATCTTCCACTCATTTCTGCTTCATTTTGTGATTCATTGACAGAAAAGGAAGTGGAATGGAGTAAAATCCCTCCTGATACGGTACAGTTATACATTAATGGTTGTATGGTGAACAGCATCACATACAAAGAGAGCCATCTTCCAAAAATAAGTTTATACAATCTCTCCTCCAATTGCATCAGGACTTTACCAGAAAATGTTCTTCCAGATCTGAAAAAGAAATGCCTGAAAGAGCTTCCAGACTCATTTTTGAACAATACTAGGCTACAAGGAATTACGTTGGTCTGTACCTGTGAATTCATTAAGGGCAACACCAAACCGCTAAACAGCATTGTTTGTGCAGAAATGCTGAAAAGCTGTGAAAATACTTCAGTGGCCATTACTGTAGGAATTTCCCTTCTTTTACTCGTGATGATTTGTGGAATTGGGTGTGTTTGGCACTGGAAACACCATGAGACCACACGATTTACCTTACCAAAGTTTTTGCAAAGAAGAAGCAGCAGGAAAAAAAACTATACTAAAACATTCTCCTGGAGTCCCCACATTATTGGCTTACAGCGAAAAACCCCAGCTGAAACCAGAGACCAGAGATCTGCTGCTATGGGAACTGACATGCAGGAGAACTATGAAAATGTGGAAGCAGGTCCTCCCAAAGCTGACACAGAAACTGATAAGGAACTGTATGAAAACACACAACAGTCTAACTTTGAGGAGCATATCTATGGAAATGAGACATCCTCAGACTATTATGACTTCCAGAAGCCTCATACTTCTGAAATTCCTCAAGATGAAGATATATACATTCTCCCAGATTAATGTTAGTTTTTCAAAATACTGAGTGTTGTTATTAGAAGATAAATATTCATTGTGACTTTTATTGTACTGATGCCATTATCAATCAAGTTCTGATGAAATCAGATGGTCTCTCCTTTATCTGCACCTTTCTGAATTCTCTCTGTGTGTATCACTGTGGATTAATTCTAGATCTCTTCTCCCCTTCCTTGCCCTGGATTAAATCTGCATTATGCTATATTGATTCTTCCTTCTAAATGTTGCCTGTTATCTCTTTCTTTTATTTCTACCTTGACTGTCTTTTTCTGACTCAGAATTATTGTCACGGTCTCCTAAGTGGTCATCCTGTCTCTAGTTTCTACCTACTCAATCAATTTCCCATGATACTGCCAGATTTATCTTTAGAAAAAATGGCCACATTATTGCTT